TGTTTCATCTTATCGTATTGCTTATCTCTCGAATCCTGCCCTCATGATCCTGGAGTTGTTCATCTCTCTTTTTCTCAGCCTCTTTACCTTCCATCATTTGGTCTTCTATATCGCTGATTCTCTCTTCTGCCTCATTTATCCTAGCAGTTAGTGGCCCCATTTTTTATTGCACCTCATTAATAGCCTTTTTGATTTTGACTTGGTTAGATTTTAGTTCTTTTGTTTCTCCAGAAAGGTTTCTCTAATAACTTCCACACTTTTTTCAAGCCCAGCTAGTATCTTTAAAGTCATGATTCTGAACTCTAGGTCCGACATCGTACTAATGTCCGTATTGAGTAGGTCCCTGGGAGATGGTACTACCTCTTGTTCTTTTTGCTTAGGTGATTTTTTTCATCTTGTCATTTTGTCCAGAGGAGAACACATGAATGAGAGAACAAAATGCTAACAGGTTAACAATGTCCCCAGCAAATATACTCTATACAAATCAGAAAAGACCTGAAACCAGGGGAAAGGAAAGGGAAAGAAAGAAAAAAGAAAGAGAAGAAAAAAGAAAAAGAAAAAAACAAACAAAAGCAGAACAAAACAAAAAAAAAACAGAATAGGATCAAATATGATCAGGCTAGTGTATAGATCAGTGCCACACACTAGATTTTGGGTGTATTTTTGTCTGTTAGAAGAAAGTGCCTCCTAAACTTTTAAAGGAAGAAAGACTTATATATGTACAAAATAAGGGTTGATACAATGAAGGGATGGAAGATGACTGTAAAGATGAAAATTATAAAAGGTTTTATAAACGGAATTGTTAAGATAAGAAGTTGTTTGAAAGAAGAAAGAAGAAGATTTAAAAAAAAAAGAAAAGAAAAGAAAAGAGAGACTGTGATCAGGCAGGAGACTAGAACAAAGCCATACACTAGTGATGTAGGGTATATTTTGATCTGTTAGAAGAAACTGTATATCAAAATTTTAAAGAGAGAAGAACTTATATATATATATATATATGCCAAAAATTAAGGGTAACTAGCATGAAGGGATAAAATATGACTCTAAAAATGAAAAATAAAAAATGTTTTTTTAAAAAAGGGATTGATAAGATGTTGGTTGAAAAAGGGAAAAAGAAAAATTAAAAAAAAAAACAGTTAAAAAAATTAACTTTGAAAAACTAATGAATCATGGTAAAAAAGCCATGAATTCTATGTGCAGTATTCCCCTAGCGCTGGAGTTCTCCCGTTCTCCTTGATCGGTAAACTTGGTCTTGACTTGCTGGCTGTTTGTGCTGATCTTCTGGGGGAGGGGCCTGTTGCCATGGTTCCCAAATGTCTTTGCCGGAGGCAGAATTGCCCCGCCCTTGTCGGTCCGAGCTAAGCAAGCTGCTCGGGTTTGCTCTCAGGAGCTTTTGTTTCCTGCAAGCTCTTGGTACAGCTTTGGAGGACCAGGGTGAAAATGGTGGCCTCCCACTCTCGCCTGGAGGAGCTGAGAACTCAGGGCCCCGCTCCTCAGTGCGCCCCCAGAGAAAAGCAGTCACTCCCGTGTCCCCGGTCTCCGGCCGCCCTCCGTGCTCACCCGGCCTGTGACCGAGCATTTCTCTCTCTGGCACCTGACCCCGTGTGGAGTCTCCAAACCCAGCAGATCCCTGCAGTGCGCTCCCGCGCCGCTCCTCCCGGGGGAGGAAGGGGAGTCTCCCCGGATCTGCCGCTTGTTGGGTCCCTGCTGGAGGAGCAGCGGCCCGACTGGGCCGCGGATCACAGTTCATGGCAACCCCGAGCTGAGAGCCCGCGCCTCGGCTCCGTCTCTGCAGCCGGCTTCCCCGCTCCGATACCTGGGAGATCTGCCGCACTCAGGCACCCCCGGTCTTTCTGTGACCCCAAGGGTCCTGAGTCCACACTGTCCCGTGAGGGTTCCACCCCCTGCTTAGCCACTGGAGCGACGTCCCTCAGCGGAGCCGACTTCTAAAAGTTCCGATTTTGTGCTCCGCGGCTCTAGCACTTGCCAGAAGTGGCAGACGGAGGCCCCCTCCCCCACCATCTATCCTCCCAAATATCGCCTCGGATTCACTTCTCCACACATCCTACCTTCCAGAAAGTGGTCTCTTCTCTGTTCAGAGAGTTGTTGCTACTCTCTTCTTCGATCTCCTGTTGAGTTCGTAGGTGTTCAGAATGGTTTGATCCCTATTCAGCTGAATTCCTGAGACCAGACGAAATCCAGGTCTCCTACTCCTCCGCCATCTTGCTCTGCCCCCTCCAATCATTTAACTCTTGATTTTGGCTCAGGTCATGATCCCAAGGTCCTGGATTCGAGGCTCAAATGTGGCTCCACACTCAGCGCAGAGTCTGCTTGTCCCTCTCCCTCCCCTGCACTTGCATGTTCTCTCTCTCAGAAAAATAAATAAAATCTTAAAAAAAAAAAACAAACCTAGTAGTCTAAAAATAAACAAATAAACCCTAGTAATCTAATTGTGGTTTTTGTTTGTTTGGTTTAGTTTAGTTTTTTAATGTTGGGAAGAAAATGGAACATCTTTCATTTGAAATACCTGGAAAGAAGTTTAACATTTTGCTGAAGAACTGTCATGCTCACTGGTGATTTACAAGAACTCTTAACCAACAGAATAGTGATTAATCATTTTCCAAGGAGGAACAAAGTTTAAGTCAGTAAGTTTAGCTGCTTAAGTAGAAATGTTGCTGATTGAAAACAATCCTGTATATATGTTCATGTTTATATGGCACAGGAGAAAATGTCAAGTAGTACAGTAGGTCCATGAATCAGAAGAATAACTTCTCTCTGATAACTTGTAACAGTTATAAAACTTTCTCTTTTTTTAAAGATTTTATTTATTTATTTGAAAGGAAGAGAGTGAGTGAGAGAAAGGGAGCCCAAGAGGTGGAGCCCAAGACCTGAGCCAAAGGCAGATGCTTAACCAACTGAGCCACCCAGGCGCCCCAGTCATAAAATTTTCTGATGATAGTTGGATGGAGAAAAAGCAAGAAATCTCTACCAAAAGGTGTTCTGAAGAACATTCTGGCATTTTCTGAAAAAACTAGGAGTAGCAACATGGGCTCCTGACTTAAGATACTTGAATCAGGCATAATTTGCTATTTTAGATGTTCTCAAATTATTTTAGCTTAATGAATTGACATTTGTTTAAAGTTACATGGAAAATTGAA